TTACAGACGCGCGCCAAGTTAAGTTGTACCTTAGCGACATCTAGAAATAAATAGCTGCACTACTGCTGCTTGCCGCCATTGTGATTGATGTAACTTTTTAAAAATGAAATCTTTGAGAATGACTCCTGGCCGCAATATTGGATTTTAAATGACAAAACTTTCAATATTGAAAGAGGAGGCGCAGTTTTACAGCGACTGTACTTTAAAATTCAACAATTGCTTAAAATAAAAAATAAAATTTGCCCTCTTATTTTAGCAATATTGTAGTAATTACTGTCTTTCTAATAAACCCCTTATATAGTCGCTCTAGAGTAATGTATGTAGAATTTATATTTTCAAAACCAAGCTAAAAAATGATTGTATAAGCCCAGGAGTCATTCTCAAAGTTATATAATTTTACAATGCAATTTGTCGGTGGCGACCTCTATTGGTTCTCATGAATAGTATGCCGTCCTTAACGTCATCACGGTTGTTGTCAAAACTAACTAGGGTTCTTGCGTGAACTCAATGTCACTGAAGGTCATCCTGGTTGTTGTCTAAACTAATCAATGTCACTGAAACTAAGAAGTTGCAACATTGCAAAAAGGAAAACTTTGCTACATGCATGAATGTCTGAAGGGCGATTCTAATACGGTTTTTATTGATTGGATATAGATTTCAGAGCGTGCTCAAAGGTAGAGAACAGTGGTTCTGTATTAATTGATAATCGATTTCGGAGACATGGCCCAATCAGTTCTAAAATGTAGTAATTAGATCATATTTTTAAACGATCAATTTTTAATGCGTTGCAGACCTTCCCCGCAACCTCGTAAACAAAAATGCTGGAGCTCCACTCACGTTTCATATAGGTTCTAGAAAGTAATAAATTAAAAGGTAATTGATATTTTATTTAGTCCTGAAGTAGGAGAATGGGAACAGGCAATGAAATTCCATCGTAGAGTGAAGTTACCTAGTAAAGAATGTGCAATATTGCTAAGATAGTTAATGAAGTTCGAATCCCAATGTAATATCTTTTCATTTAAAATTGATTAATTAAATTGAATGCATAATTCGCTGATACCTTTCATAATGCAAGAAACTTGCGTGTGTTCTAATTGACTCTCCCATTGGAATTCAGTTTGCCCAATAATTAAAATTTTACCTTTGCAAAATCCAGATGAAATTTCAATTGTTTGTAATTGGAATTAAGTTTGCGAGCAACTAACGTAATTATATTAAATCTATTTGAAAAGGCTATTTCCTTTTCCTTATCATTTCATGAACATAAATTGAAGTATTTCAAAGAAATTTGTGCTGGTTTAGGGTAGTTTACTGTCCATGTCAAGGCAAAATTTAAACAATTTTGGTTCTGTAAACCACAGGCCATTTCTACTGCAACTGTCAGTGAGTACAGAATTGAGCTTTAAACTTTGGTTCTAAACAGGTCATTTCAATCCTTAATACCAGTTCGCGATTCTGTAGCCAATCGGCCCTGAGTACTGTCACTTATCCGTGTGTTCGTAGTCGACCAAAAGTTAAGGGCTCAGTCAACGAAAAATTAATGTGTATACCTCACCACATCTGACTTCACTTACAGGGTAACATAAAATGGCATACAAAGCCAATAAAATCTGGCCCAAAAGATCGACGTAAAAACTTGTTGTATTTTCAGTCTACTAAATTGTGAATTATAATAACGTTTGTGGCAGATGGCAGTATATGTGGCGGGTACTTTAGATTTATACATCAAATTGAATATACTTACTTACCTCAATAGTACAATAATCGTACTTTAAGTTTGAGACAATAATAGCAAAAATTGATAAGGGAGGTTCCTTATTAAAAAAGGTAACTTCTGACCATACAACGGCAACAGACAGAATTGCAGCGAGCACCGCTAGCACCTTCTGCACGTAACAACGAAAAAAACACTTCCAATACCACTCTAAAATACACAACAATTAATAATAATGACAAACAACAAATTAATTACCTGCAAGAGGGGTATAAATATATCTCACAAGAGTCGATTTTGGTTTAGGAAAAGTAGGTTTAAATCTCCGATCCATCGACGTCAGATTTTTAAGCACATCTTCAAGATCGAATATTTTTTCGACGAGTATATTCCATTGAGTTTCAGTTCGTTGAAGCACTTGAAGTGATTTGATGACCTGCTTGTGCAATCTGATAAGCGACTTTTCTGATGGAACATCTAGGGGAGTGTCATCCGGTAGTTGTCTTCTGCTCATGCGATCACGAAGTTCAATCGGCACTTTATGTAAAATCGTTTCCAAATTGTGATGTAAAGCATGTCCAGGACGAATGGATAGAGATATAGCTTGCAGTGACTTAAAATAATTATTAAGCAATTAATTATCCAGATCGAAACTTACCTCCAACACATCATCGACAGTCTCCTCGGCCTCACATTTATCCGAGCTAAGCTTAGCAGCTTTAAAATATGCGTAGTTTACCACATACATATAATTGGAATTGTTCCACAATCCTCTGGGAACTTCCACCAATGCATAGCCCAGTAGCAAGACGAGCAAAAATAAACCCCAGGTGTTACTTGCAGAAGATGCGATTGCCTTCAGCTTCGGCCTAAAAAAAATATTAAATGCGAAAATAAAGTAAGACATACCGACCAGTCCAAATTTTCGCCGGGCTTCAATGCCAAATAGATAAGTAAAATTCCGCAAATGAATAAGTACGATCCGTAGTAGATGGCGTTATCGATAACGGCAGATTTTAGTTTTCCCTTTATCGTAAAATCGCCCGCCTTAATGTACGATTGCATCATAGGCATCAGTAACCTGCCAAAAAAAATTCGTTACACGCAGTCACTTCTCACACGATATTTTAATACCCACAACACCCACACCTCACAACTGATACTGTTTTGTATAAAAATAAATGTGAGATTCTGTTGTAGTCACAAAATTCTATTGTTGTAGCTAGAGTTACTCGCGTGAACAAAATTATCCCACAGGATTAGATTAGAGGGATGGTACGCTCACAGTCAGCCAACAAATATCAAGTATCAATTGACAGATACCAAGTGTGACGTAATCTTCCCGAGAAATATGACGTGAGATCGAATTGCGTTTCGGAACAGTTCCAATTTCAACGCCGAAGTAATAAATAGTTCGTGTCGTTATAAATTGTGTATATGTGAGTGATAAAAAATATTTTAACTGTTATAAATGAATTCCTTTCAATGCTGTTATAAATTTCTGTTATTGACTGACTCTCTAATACATTAATTGATACTTACTAACTGCACACATATGATAATACGATGTGTCAAGTGACAAACAGTACGTGTAAATTAATTAGTGAGTGTCAATGGGTAGATAGTAGTGAATTTGCGGATGTACATTTTACGTTACAAAACTTGTCGTTATATCTTATAACGTAAAAAAGCTTAAGAATTATACCGTATAAAGACACTATTATACCTTATGTTTATAAATAACGTAAACCAATCAAATTCCAGCAACAATAAATTTATCCGCAAGTGCGTTTCACTAAATTTCCCTTACGTTATATCATAAGAAAAAATGGCCGTCTAACGTAACGGAAAATACGTGTCCGCAAACTCGCTAGTAGTTAAGTATCAATTTACAACTAACAAATGTCAACTGGAAAATTCTGTCAAATGATGGGAACAATTTATTCTTTAAAAAATTCTTATCAATTGATTGTTGTGTAAAACGCCATGCGGACCTTTTATTTGGCTTCGGCATCTGCTATGGGACAACTAGTACATATGTGCTTTTCAATTATTTTTAACGTTGAAAGGTGGTTGTAAATAGGGGCTTAAACGCAATTCCAATCGTGTCATTTGAATTTGAAGATACTGTTGATGTTGTATCAGAATTATTTAATGATTTAGATGTTTGATTGTGTTTAAATAATTGTTTTATTTTGTTTTGGTAATTGTAAAAGTAAATTACGTGTTAAAAAGACTAGATTTATTCAACTAGGAGTTAAGTGGGTAGGATTAGTAAAAGTTCATCTCATGTTTTTCTCCGGTCGTAGATAAGAAGCTTTCTTATCGCTGCGTAAGCTAATTAGTTTCAAAATAAGTACGTGTCATCGCCGAAGTAAGCAGATGTTAATTCATTCGAAGACGCGGTATTTTGTTAGGGAAGTAGAAACGGAAATGAGAAAAGGAAATGGTTTTAAATAGAAGAGGAAGACGTGAATCGTGGCTTCTTAGGTAGTGGGACGTTTGAAACATAGCCGTTTGTTTAGATCTATTGCCGTATTTGAGCGCATTTGAAAAGACAGTATGTCCTGTTTGATTGTAAAGTTGTGTAGAAGAAAGCTTGAGATTATTTAAAGAATTTTGTTGACGTCGTGATAAAAGTGAATGTTAAGTTAAGTTAGGTGTACAAATATAGAAAGTGAAGGATGGATAAGGAAATTGCAGTACCTACTTGAAAAAGACCCAGATCGTCAGCTGATTTGCCTATCATCAAGGCCAGTCACATCAAATTTTGCCATTTGCCAATAACGCAATGTGATATTTGTCAAATCATTTTTAGCGAAAATTCATCAAACACACAACATTAATGAAAACCATTTTAAAGAAAGCTGGTTAAAAATACCATGAGTCAAATTTTCATGAAGAAGAACAAGAGATAAAAATGGTAGTTACATTTACATACCAAAATTTAGGATTACTGATACTATGTACGGGCAAAATACAAGGCGTCACAGGAAAATTTGCAAAAGTACAACAAATATACCTAAAGATCAAGATCATGGAGAACATGGAAAAATTCCTAGTTGTAAATGGTACCTGGATACTATAGGAGTAGTGATAGAAAGTGGATCGCGACAGTTTGGCGGGAGATTTGGCAGAATTAAGGGGTTATACGTGCTTGCTAGTCAGCCTTGGTAATGGGAAACGAAGTTTGTTGCCAGAACAACGTTAAAACAATTAGCACTATTTTGAAGGCGCATTCTGGAAAATTAAAAAAAAAGTGGGGATTAAAGATTTTCAGAAGGCATTATGCGATTAGCTGCGAAGATTACGGTCGAATTCCGCGACAGACCAAAAATGTAATGAGGAAAAAACTCAAAAAGCAACATTTTCTATGCAAGAGTATAGTACTATAAATAGTTCATCCGTTAATTATCTAGATGTTTATTTGGACACTAAACTTACAAGGAAAACTCAGGTGGACGTACTAGCAAACAAATTAAATGCACTTGCGCTTGTCCTAAGAAATTTAAAAAAACATAGTATCGCTAAGTGTCAAAAAGTGCATACCACACACTATTTCGCTCTCAGGGGCATTCTCCTGCAGGCAAGCCAAAGGAAATGCATTCGAGTATTGCAGAATATGAACTATATCGCTAATTGCCGACAAGCATTTATCAATGTGATACTAGCATCAATCCATATACCGGGTGACCCAATAAGACTGTTCCTCGGTCATATCTCGGAAACCGTTCGTCGTATGACTTAGGGGTAAAAAAAATTATTGGGTAAATCGGTCCTGAAGAATCGCTGGAAAATATTTTCAAGTTCTAAAAATGACCACTCGATAAATATTTTCGAGTTCTAAAAATGACCACCAGAGGGCGTAACTGCCATCTTAAATTTTAAAATTGCATTTTCTTTAAATTTCGGGCAATAAACTAAACATTCTTTTTTCACATTTTTAAAGAGAACCAGTTTATCTATCATTTTCGTAAAAACAAAAACTTCTTAACCGTTTGACTGATTGTAACAAATTTGGTATCGTTGAAAAGAGCATTCCTTGGATAACAAGAATCAACCAAAATATATTAATTTAGTTGAAACTTATGTCCTATCATTTTTCTTTATGAAAAAGTAGCCAAATAACATCCAAAGAGGCCAGTGAAAACTACTTTTCAAAATATCGTTCCTAACCTCAAATATTGGGAAAATGAGATTAATTAATTAATTCAAATGCTTACATGGTGTCTTATTTGACGTATTTCCGGTACTTGTCGATGGCGCGAAATATTGTTTGGAAAAGGACCCTACACTTTAAGGTAGGCCTTGGAAAATTAAACAAATGAAACACGATGCATTATAAAAAAATAACAGCCGTAATTTGTAAATTATTCTGCTGTGTTTACATTCAGAAAGAGCAGTTTTTTGAATTTGTGATCTTTTCTAAAATGCCGATTTCTAACCAAGAAGCATTTAATATGCTGGCGATATTTTGTGTATTTTCAAAATGCGACATCGCTGCCCGCATCTTCTATTTGCGTTATGCAAATCGACCACAAACCATCGCCGCCAGCATATTAAATGCTTCTTGGTTAGAAATTGGCATTTTAGAAAAGATTACAAAATCAAAAAACTGCACTTTCTGAATGTAAACACAGCAGAATAATTTACAAATTACGGCTGTTATTATTTTATAATGCATCATGTTTCATTCGTTTAATTTTCCAAGGCCTACCTAAAAGTGTAGGGTGCTTTTCTTTCGCGCCATCGACAAATACCGGAAATACGTAAAAAGTAAATTTAAGATACAATTTAAGCATTTTTATTAATTAAATAATTAATCTCATTTTCTCAATGTTTGAGGTTAGGAACGAGATTTTGAAAAACGGTTTTCACGGGTCTCTGGGTGTTATTTGGTTACTTTTTCGTAAAGAAAAAGTCATACCTATCATTCCATTTGATTTTTTTAGGATATTGGGTCATAGTGTCAAAACTAGCCCTCTGGTGGAGAAGGATTCAACTAAATTAACTTTATATATTATAGTTGATTCTCATTGCTCAAGAAATGCTCTTTTCAACCATACCAAATTTGTTAAAATCGGTCAAACGGTTAAGAAGTTAGAGCAGGTTATTTCAAAAACAATTGAAAGCCCCACAACCATCTTTGTTTTTGAAATAACTGAGTTTTTGTTTTTACGAAAATGTTAAACTGGTTCTCTTTAAAAATATGAAAAATTTTTTTTAGTTTATTACCTATGCGAAATTTAAAGAAAATGCAATTTTATTAAGATGGCAGTTACGCCCTCTGTTGGTCATTTTTAGAACTTGAAAATATTTTCCAGCGATTCTTCATGACCGATTTACCCAATAATTTTTTTACCCCTAAGTCATATGACGAACGGTTCTCGAGATATGGCCGAGGAACAGTCACCCGGTACAATTTATTAGTATTTGTCAAAAGATATGACATCCAAATTCAAACTAACAAGCACATACACCATCATGCCACTCGGAACCATGAACATCTTCTATTATGCAAGTATAGCTCACCAAGACAGAATTGCAGGACCGGACTATATCAGTGTTAAACTACACAATTACACTCCCAGTGACATTTAAAAACTAAATTATAATCTATTCTGGGCTGTTATTTAAAAAAAACTATTAAACATTGCCTACTATAGTGCGGATGAGTTTATTAAGACACATTTTAACTTATTGCATTTATGTGCATGTATAATTATTTGTTTTGACCTGTGTTAAGGTTTTCTTTTAGTAAAATGACAAATAGATATTATTATTATTATTAATTTGTAGAATAAGGATTTTTATTTACATTTCATTTGCGTAAACATTTTTCTTATTAATCAAAGAGACAAGAAGTTGCAGTAATAGCCATAATGTGCCCATTTCTATAGTGTAAACTATACTATACAACTAAACATACCATGTTAGACATTGAGATGACCAGTAGACAGTTCTCCACAAATTCGGAAAAACCTTCTCAGGCACATGACTCCAAGGTTCTTCGCAAGGAAGAGTCCCATCGATTGAAAGGTTAGCGACATCGCTCACATTAACTATAATGTGCTCGGCAGAAGTGCACTGACGGTACACAGTCTACATGCAAAGTATTATTATTTTAAATCGAAATGGACTTGGTAACTTACGTTAATGACGTCCAAAGGTAAAACGAATATAATTAAAAAGCTAAAATACCAGGCCAATAATACTACAAGCGTCACAAATATGTGGTGACGAAACCAGTTCCCATACCGGTATAGAATACTAGCAGCAAGAACGAAAGATAAGATGATTTTCGTTATTATAGCTGTGTAAGTCATTTTGCATAACTTGTGGTAAAAGTCTAGTTCTGCGAAGAAGGTGTGCTATTACTTTGTTCCTTTTGCAATTTTTGCACCTCTTGTTGCATTTTCTCCAACTTCTCCAATGTGTAACTTTTGAGAGGTATCAACCGAGGTTTACACATAAGGAGCTCTTGGGAATCCTCAATTATCAGTTGACCATTTTTGGGAAGTATGAGTTTTAATTCGCTATCAGTAGCTTTGGACATTTTACATATGCCCTAAAATTATTCACTTATTATTAAGAAAGTTATGTTTTACATATTCTTCGGTGATTCATTAACATTAAACTATATGAGGCATACTAATTCTCAAAAACACAAGTCCGATTTACGGTTATTTCCTACGAATCAATAAAAAAATGTGACACATTACACAACACATCAAACTTCGCAAGTGCATGTCATCGATTCATAGCAATAACAGCGCTAACGGAACCACAAAAATAGTGTGGCTAACATACCTACTTGGTGAGCGTGTTTGATATTTAAGGCGCTTTCTTTCGGCTACTTCGCAATCATGATTTCAAAATCGTGATTCGTCGGATCACGTTTTACGAAAGAACGCGCGAATTTAAATCAAAGTATGGTTAAGTTTACGTAGTACACATTTGCATTCGAATTACGTATTTTTTGTTTGGATTATGAAAATAATTTAAATACCTACAAGTGGAAGTACTTGCACAATTATGCCCCTCTTCAGTTACAAATATTGACTAATCGAACATTTGAGCAAAAATATCCTTGCATTTATAGGTTAGGAATTCGTGATCATAAAACTTTTATGTTCAGTTTGTTCATGATTGCTGCAATCATGATCATAAGATCACACTTCGAAAGAACGTGATTTGACAATCCAAACGCGTTTGGATCACCGAAAGAAAGCGCCTATTTAAGCGGAGATTAGCTTAAGCGTCGCCTAAAATCCATGGCAACGATTATTGAGACAATTGTTGCCATGGATTTTAAGCTACGCTTAAGCTAAGCTCCGCTTAAATTTGTCGGTGCAAATGGCCATCAGTTTCAAAAGCATTCGTGAGATCGTGACCTCTCACAAAAATACTACAGTACTTAACTATGGTAGCAGATCGTCAGCTATTTGTCAGCCATTTTGGAGCCCATTGACAATCCAAATCTGTGCACAAGAAAGTGTTTTGTTTAAGGCACACAATACATGCAGGACATAATCAAAGCATGGAACGTTTTGCAAACGACCAAACGTCAATTGTCAGTCGACTCCAACATGACAGACGAATCAGCTGGGCAGGGTCTGCTATATATAGTATTTATGGTCTCGTCTAGTAAGTTTTTGCAAAATCTCACTTGATGTGTTGTATTATTGCTAGCTGCACACTGCACAGTGTGTATCAGCCAAGTGGAATAAATTCGTTAACAAATAATTAATTGGCGACCTGATCAAGAAAACCTTCGGATGCGTCTGTGTGTAAAAAAATCGTGTGAATTCTAGATAAATACATAATTACATATTAATTATCGCTATGGCAAAAAGCATTCTTAAAGTAGAGTTTCTAACAACTAGTGAAAAGGTTTCTGATTGTATCTATTGTATAGTGTTGAGTAAAACTACGAGCAACTATAATAGTCTAGATTTATATCTCTTTATACGCCCTTTGAATCGCACTTTAATTGATAAAGCGACTTGCATTGAAAAATCTTCAGATTTTCTGGTTTTTCAATTAATGTCCATACTTTATTGTCTATTAGGGACTCGTGCCCTTCATCCATTGCGTTTCGTCATTCTTCTGCATCATCACCACTCGAGGCCACAGGTACAGTGCTTGATTCTTCATTCACCGCTTCTGATACGAAATACGGTAGGTATATGTATATGGTCTTGATAAAGTTTTTTTTTCTTTTCCCACTCTTTCCGATCTTCTGAGTACATAATTTCCTTGTGAATAACATATCGGCTTCCTGATCATCACCAGATTGTGCTTCGGAATATAGGTATATTCTCGCCTTCTTCCTCATGCTCCTCTTCGCTTCTATGTGAGTATCCTTCTTTTGAATAATCGGCTTTTTGTTCACCTTTTTTGACATTGATTGTCGAAGAAAACTACATCTCTGGATTTGATGATGTGACCTGGTTTTTCAAAATCAAACAGTCTGCAGGCTTTAGTTCTTCATCGTAACCCACGAACACATATTGCTTGCTCTTTGGATCGAATTTCTTAATTGTGGTATATGAGCCTGTGCGTCTGTGCGATAACTGCATTATGCGGGTCACTGTATTAAATTTACCAACATGCTAAATGAGGTTGGTCTTCGACAAGTAATTAAGGAGCCCACCCGAATTACAGCAACCTCTGCTACGTTATTGGACCTTATACTTATCTTCTCACATATCAACCCTGTGGAAGTTGGCACTGTTGCTATGCATCATTTTACCGATCATTCGTTGGTTTTTTGTAAATATCCTATTCAGATCAAATCACAGAAACCCTTTCAAAGAACTTACAGGGATTTTAAACATTTTAATAACATACAGTTTAATTCTCTGTTACGGTCTTTAAATTGGAATTACATATATGAACTTTGGGATGTTAATGATATGGTTAACTATTTCAACTCCTGTGTCAATTACATCTTCTCCATTCATGCCCCATTAAGAACGGTCCGCATAACTAAGCCTAGGTCACCATGGCTAACAGATAACGTACGACTCATGATGTCTTTGAGAGATGCTGCATTACTTAAATTTAAAAGAACCAAAAATATAGCGCATTGGAACTACTACAAGATTCTACGGAATAACACTAATTACGCAATAAATAAAGAAAAAAAAGCATATTTAGATTATATGATACGTACTAATAAAACACGCAATCTGTGGAAAGAATTAAAATCCTTAAATATTTACTCTTCTTGTAATGCAGCAATTCCACCACATTTAAGCCAACCAAATTTAATAAATGAAGCATTTGTTTTTAAACCCCAGCAGTCGAATAAAGAATTAATTAATTTTTACAGAAATAATCGCCTGTTAAACTTTCAAAACACATTAACTTTTTCAAAAATTTCCGATTTTGATATAGAAAGCATACTTTACAATATTAAGTCCAAAGCCATTGGAGAAGATGGAATAAGTGTTGACATGCTTTTGTTGTGCTGTCCATTTCTAATTCCATATATATAACTTATATCATCAATGCGTGTCTTACATCTAACTCTGATGTTCCTGACATTTGGAAAATTGCTAAGGTGGTACCTATTCCCAAAAACAGTAGCCCTACGAGTTTTAATGACTTGCGCCCTAAACTTAACGGACGATATATTCGCAGCAACTGATAAAAATAAACTCTCCATATTAGTAACGCTTGACTTTTCCAAGGCCTTTGACACAATTAGTCATGAAATTTTAATAAATTTATTATATTATGTTGGCCTAGGCTCGCATGCAAGTACATTGATGGGAAGTTATCTTAAAGATCGTAAGCAACTGGTACTAGTAAATAATACTAAATCTGATGCACTACCAATTTGCTGTGGGGTCCCACAAGGCTCTATTCTAGGTCCTCTATTATTCACATTATACACCTCCAATTTTTACAAATGTCTACAACACGCCAAGTTTCATCAATATGCAGATGACACCCAACTTCATTATAACTTTCCCCACGACAACATCGCTCAGGCTATTGAGCACATGAATTGTGATATTTACAGAATTGTTCGTACGTCTGAAGAACATGGATTATACATTAATCCTTCAAAGTCGCTAGCGATGTTGTTTGGAAAAAGCAATATTAGAAGTAGGTATAAGGATGCTGTAGAAATTTATGTTAAGGGCACTGCGTTACATGTTCAAGACAAAGTAAAAAATCTTGGAGTGGTTCTAGATTCTGATCTCAGATTTAAAAAGCACGTATCTGAAATGGTGAGGAAAGCCTACTTAAATTTAAAATTAATATTCAATAATGGGTTCTATCTTAGTAAACACCTTAAAATTATGCTTTGTGAGTCACTGGTTCTATCGCAATTCACTAAATTCACTTATTGTGATACTCTTTATGGATCATGTTTAGATGCTGCTGACAAATACAAGATTCAAAAAAATCAAAATTCATGCATTCGATTAATTTATGGTTTAAGGCGATATGCACATGTCTCCCACAAATTAAATGAACTAAATTGGTTAAATATGGAGAACAGGAGACTTGTGCACGCTTCCTCCTTATACCACAAAATAATTCTGAATAAATCTCCACAGTATTTGTATGAGAAAATCAATTTCAGTACCAATACCAGGTTTTCGATGCTGATCACTCCGCCGATGCATAAAACGGTATTTTATGAGCGTTCCTATAGTTACAACATTGCCCATCTATACAATGCTCTACCAAATTCATTTAAAAAGCTTAGCCCTAAACAATTTAATTTACATGTCCAACGTTTCATACTTGACCGCCAGATCCGTAACCAATGAACACCTGATTAGGAACATATATATGTATAATAACAGTAATTATATTTAATATCATTCTCGCTACGTCCATTCATAATTTTTGTACCGCACTGGTCAACAATAATTTTCATTGTTTAGTTTTTATTATTTATAATTAGAAGCCATGTGTCATCCCTTTATAATGTAAGTAATATACTGGGTGAAGTGGAAGAGCAGAGGCAGTGGGTTTCACCACTGTCATCTGAACTTCGCCCAATTTAGTTACACGAATTTTTATTTTAATCTATTATACATTTTGTTGCAAGATGTAACTAATAAAAGACATTATTATTATTATTATTATTATTATTATTACTCTGTCATTGGGCGTAAACCTGTTGAGGGCCCAGAACAAGAGGGATAATAATAACTAAATAAATGTTTTAGATCAATCTTCAATCCTGAATTCCTGGCTACTTTTTTCTGGCGTGCATCCTTTTTTACCCTTTTACAGCTTTGTGAGGTGATCTATTCTTCAGATAGACTGCGCGGTGTTGACAGCTTCAGTCCACATTCTTTAATCTAGATTTTCATGCGGTAACATTGTAGGTATACATACCTAGCTACCATTTTGCTCGCCGACAATAAGTTAGGCCTTCTGAGTTTGAGCTCTTAAAGGACCACTGATTTTTATAATTCAAACACGCACTTTACAATCTGTGAGAATATTAGCAGAATGAGTTTGTTTTAGACGAAAATCAATTTAATACAGCATAACGCAACTATATTATAATGACACAATGATTAAATTAATTATTATAACATATATGACAAACAACTTATAATAAGATGACGCTGTGTGGTTATCAAATATGATTACGTACTCCAACACAGACGGACAGACAAACAAAAGCATGATTTAATAAGGAATCTTTTCCGCGTAAAGACTTTCGCTACTATAAATGCAAATAGGTGCGCTGCACGGACCTCTTACTAAAAATAA